ATATGGAACACTAACTTTGTTTTATATAAAACCTAAAAACTACCAGTGTGTACCTCCTACTCAACTAACCACAAGACGTGATAGGGTTCTAGTCGTTTAAAGTTATTTTACTATTTCTTTTCGCCAACAAACGACTACTCGGTCCGAATAATCAAGAAACGCGACTCAAATCCTTGTGCCAATACTGTATCTACACAATGGCCGCCACTTAACGAGGCTCAATCACGCTTGCTACACATCACTGAGGGGCTACAGTTGACAAGCCTTAGGCCTCCTCGTCTGAAATCCGCTCAAGTTTCTGGGGTCAGTTTGGTATCTGGGGTTACCTGTTCATATGAAACGCCAATCGATTGTTCACCTGTAGCGGATGCCGCACTATACTGTCCCCTGTCTGCAAACAATCAAAGGCATACCTGGTCTCCCCATGTCATTCCCGTGCTTGGACACTCGGACAAGATATGCGACCCTGTGTGACACACAGTCGACAGTCATATCAGCAAATACTGAATCTTATTGAATTTTATTGAATCTTAGCTTGCTTACTCCATCCATGCGGATATAGCGGTTAGAATTTGATAGAATATTATCAGCAGATGGTTTAAATCGCAGTATGTATATTAAGGACATAAAATTAGTTTAAATTACGAAGTTGATGTTTAGTTGGTAAAAAAGAAAGTTATCCTGAATCAATAAACACGGTTTATGTTTATAGGTACGAGACAGGATGTTCACGTTGTATGTTGCAGTCATCCTATAAGTATCATGTTGTCAGTACCAAATGTTGTTTATCAATACAATTATTTAGTTCTTGAAAGGAGTAAACATCATGGTTGACATAACCTGATATTCAAACCATGTTGAGAAGAAACACTTGGTCCAAAAAAAGACTACTTCTAATATTCCTCACCTTGAAATTTCTATCAGTTATGACAGATGTTTAAACAATATGCGGTTGCGTGTATTCAATTTCCCTAGGGTAATACAAACGGCTGTGCCATGTGAATTTTTTGTGTCGTTAATATTTCGCCCCCTTGCGTGATATCTCCTTTGTAAATAAACTGAGGCTTTTTATATTCTATCACAAACTTCAATGGGCTCTTGATAAATTGTTCGCACCTTTTCTGAAATTGTGTCTGTTTAATACAAACAGTGGCTGAGATGACGATTCAGTCAGAATCCAAAAAGAGACTTAACACGAGGAGTTCACACAAATCCACAATATCTACCCAGTTCATAACGAAGATATCACAAAGGATCGTTGGTCCAGAATTTTTAAATCATAAATCCGTAGATGACATAATTAAAATTGAAATATTACTACTTATCAATCACCTCAAATAACTGATTACCCTAGCAATCCTAAATGTTTTATCTTTCAAGATATAATAAGTAACTTATAACTAATTAATTACTACACTATGAGTTTATGTCAATTATAATGGCATATACTGTTATCAATCAATTCATAGGATTAGCAAATGAAAGGTATTGCCCTTTTCATTGGTTGTGTCATTAAAACAAAACTTTATTAACATTTTTGTTTTTCGTTCATTAAAATCCAATTCAATATGTGCATCTGATGTGAGTTTCACCATAGAGATTTATAATCAAAGACGGAAATAATTTCCCGAGTACGATCCTGAAATTCGCCACAGAACAATAAAAGCCATTGTCTAGCTGTGAGGATGTTAATTTACTGCACTTTCTATTGCATTTCTAACTTTAAAGTGAAACTTCGTGGAATTCCCCTAGGCAGGAAGCCCTCCCTTCGTGAGTGTTCCTAACGAGCGTCACAACCAACAGTTGCCCCCATCTCTGATTGGATAAGTTGAACAGGATTACACGTTCAGCATTCCTGACTAAACACCTAAGGTGTAATGTCAACAGGAAAAGTCTTAAATGTTTTGCTGCCTCAACTTTAATGCACTTGTTGTCCTCCACAACCATTATTTATTATATAAACTCTAACATTCCTTTTTAATTCTATTTGATTTCTTTGTAACATGATTTGTATTTCATTTGCAGCAGCATCAGTTTTCAAGTGATGCAATCAGTTGATGAGGGTATGGACAGTGCACAACTCACAGTCTAAGCTTGTATTGCGCTGATTTACTGTGTAGCGTAGCTATATATTCCTAGTATCGTAAATCGTATAAGAAGATTATTACTAAAACTTTTTGTGTTAGGTTTCATTCATTTTTTATACATTGCTCTATTTTCGTTACATAAACATGGTGAGCAAATGCAAGATTACAAGATTAAAAGATGAACTGTCAAGTCACTTTTAGTTTTACCTTCCTATGACACTTATATTTATTGTTTTGAATGTAATGTTGAGAGAACAAATGTTATAGGTCTGAGACCTGAAGTGTGTTCAAACAAAATTATACAAAACGAAGTCTTGTTAATTCATACCGAGATTATAAGAAAACATCTATCAAACATGTTGCATGCATCTAATCGTATGAATAACCTGTCATCTTGATATACCTTGATCATCCGCCTTGCGTCTCGCAAACACCAGGTGTCATCACTGATTTTCAGTTATCCATTTATATAATTTTCGGCGCTATTTTGCATTTTACGTCCGGTGGAATCTGTTTCGGTGGACAATTGAAACTGGTTACTCGCTGGCGTTGACGTATATATAAAATTGCGTATGTTCTTGTTTTGCGTTCTGCACTTAAACCACCGTCGGTGGTTTTGCCTTACAGACGCAAACATCTCTATCCGGCTATTAATTTATCCGCCATTGCATATGAAAAAAGAAGCAGTTAACACGTTAAGTGTAGTTTTAACACAGGAAGTCCCTCCCGAAGGTAAACCTAATTAGTGTGGTTATCCGCCTGAAAACTGTATGGCGACATAGTTGTTGACACCAACGACATTCTGATGTAGTGTTCAACACAGCCCATTCTTCTCAGTTCACTTTTATCGATTACACAGTTCTCTATGACTTTGATTTCAACTGCTGGTAATGCACACATGATAATGTATTGGCTTTATTTCATATTTGTGATTGCAATGATAATATTCATGTAAACGACCTTTGCCTTTTGATACGATAATGCAGAGTAAATCGCTAATGATAGAGGGAGATAGGGTAGCCCAGTGGTTAAAGCGTTCGCTAATCACGCCGAAGACCCTGGTTCGATTCCCAACATGGGAACACTATGTACAGCCTATTTCTGATATTCTCCTCCGTTATATTGATGGAATTTTGTTAAAAGCTGCGTAAATCATACTCACACATTAATAATAGTTGTTTTAATCCCTAGTTTTAATAATGATCCACATAAATAGACGTACAGTATGTCTATTTATAGATGATTACACCTGGCTCTTGAGAAACTCCAACAATAATCCCCCTGATTTTGTTTTTTTGGCTTGAGCGTTGACACACGTAATCATATGTTAGGTCACATGCTCGTTATAAAGCCAACGCTAATGCTATGTAAACAGCTCATTATCGGAACAAAGAATATACGATGTTCTTCGTCAGTTGCACTTGACAATGAAAGAAACGGGTAAATAACTTATAAAATACATGTCACGCTTTGAAATTAAACACGTGCTTTGTGTTGGGAAGGAGCGGAAATGCAGCCTGCTTTACATAACACCAATGCCAACTGCTGAAACGTTCAGAAATGAGACATGGACTGTATTTGCACATGACTGAAAACACGATTTATAATGGAAATCAGACAAAGGAAAATATACACACTCTACTAAGTTTACCTGAGCATATATATCATATTTGGTATACTTAATTATATGAAACGTTTTTCTGTTCAACACTATTTTTTATTGTTTCGAACGGCTTTCCAGTCACACTATCCACTCTATATTTTATTTACGTTAGGAAATCTGACATCAGTGTACCCTACCAACGTACGCTTAGCAGATTAATGACAACAGTTGCACCGAGCATCGATGATGCCACTTCCGAAGGTCATAATGTGCGCGGGTCCAGAAAGAGTTTAACGGCGTCGCAAAGAGTGTTTGGTAAGTGTTAAAGTTGCAAGCTATGTTAGGTCAGATCTGATACAACCAGACGACCTGGCAGTTAGTCGCTGTGCTGTGCTGTGCATGTGTGCGTTGGCAGAGAAGCAAAAGTTGGACACGTCCGTATTGGATCAACACTAAGGTCGAACAATAACTGAAAAAATGCCTTTTAACACTGTGAGGTGAATACATTGTTCTGCTATCAAAGTAATGCCTATCAAGCATTCATTGTTCTGCTGTCATCAAACGTACACTTACATTTTTATACAGTGTTTAAGTTGAAGAAAGACTAATATTATTACAGTTGATTTAAATGAATCACGTCTTTTGTATGTGCAGGTTCTCAGGGATCAGACGCCACATAACCTTATTCGTTTGGTTTTAGCATTCCCATCAACCAAGATATCAAGTTTATTATTTTGTTAAGGAATGTTGGACATATCCTCTCATAATGACGCAAATGTGAAGAAAGAGAAAAATGTCTTAGTTTGTGAAGTTTTGACACAGAGCAAACTGGTTTTACCAAAAACACTTCAAATAATTTTACGTCGGTGCTTTGTTTATTGCAGGACGTATGGTGTTTAGTTTACACATTTCATGTATTAAAAGCATCTACAAGCAAACAAGCAATTGGTTAAGACTCTAATGATCGGACTAAGGTGATTGTCTTTAGTATCCGGTGATAGTGTAAAAATACTAAGCTTGTAGAGTTGTGAACAGTTTTAACATGAAACCATTTGTTTGAAATGAAATACCATACATTTAATACTGAAATATATTCGAATATTGCGAGTAATCCATCCCTTCAAATCAGCGATACAGTGCGTTAACCAGGCTGCAAGTTTAAGTGGGTGCAGGTTGTACTTACTGCAGTGTGAAAGCATGTGAACATATAACCTCTCCGAAGGGCCAGCGATAAAAATCCAGTGCATAATTAAATCCGTGAAGCTGCGAGTGATATTCCAAAATTAAGGTAAGTCCAATGGAATACTTACCACAAATCCAAGAATTATCACAGAAAGGAGGAAAGTCCGTAACAACATCTTCCTCACCCTCTGTAACTCTTCTCTACAGAAGGTACAGAAAGTGAATGTCTCCTACGAAGAAGTTCCTCTAAACTTAAGTCCAAGTGATGTGGATGTGAGAGTCACCAAGATCCACCACCTGCCTACACCTCCTTCTTCTCCTAAGTCCAAGTTGCCAATGACACCAGCCCCTTATCTCCAAGTTGTTATGTAATGTTTGGCGGAGCGAGCCTCTTCTCTTTGCAATGATGTTTCTAATTCTGATAGAGACGAAGTCTAATAGACAGTTTTAACACAGTGGAGACATTCGATTCTAATGCTCCCTCAGCGGAGCTTTCCCACACACGCGGTCGAGTCTGCAACCAACGTGAAATATGCTAATATTGTATCAGTCTAATCAATGATGCTTCTACCGGTGCCCATGTGCTCGTTCTGTTTACATCCTCTGATACACTGACATCTGCGCATGCGTGAGTGTGGACCTGTAAGTGGCGTTTAGATCTGTGACGTCACATGATTCGATAGCAGCGTACCTGTTGATCTGAAGAGATCATAATGTAGTCGTACTCAGGCAGGGACAGGCCGGAGGAAACACATTCAAAGAAACTAGCCTGAATATATTTACATTTCTTGTAATTATTTATCTTTCTTGTAATTATTTATCGTCTTTAAACGTGATGCAAAGTCAATCTACCTCGTGTAAGGTATTAGTTTGGGCTCGGTATACCACAAATATGAATAATGAATTATTTGTTTTAGCACAACGTTCATGTTGATGATAAATTTGCTTCATTGCTGTTTCTTTTCAAAGTAATAGATTTCTTTGCACGTTATTGCTCACCTCTCAATTATTTCCATTTATATTTTATATGAATTTAGATTAACCCCCTCTCTAAGTTATTATGCATGAATAAGTACTCTCAATTTTGTATTTTGAAAATTGCTAACTGATGGTATTTTCCTATTTCCACAGACATTGGAGAGTCAGTAAATGTATCATGAAAACGCACGAATATCCAAACATTAAAAACATTAACGGCTAAAGTCTTTTCTTGTTCATTTTCTTGTCATTGAAGTATATATTTCCAAAGCATAGTTTCTTTGTTTTAAAATATGCTGTCTTAATAAAATAAGTTATAGTAATTAATTTCTAAAATATTCGATTGAATTATATTCCATTACTACAAATATATTTTAACGCAATATGTCATGTGGTATATGTTGCATTTGTTTTTTATTAGAAAATAGAATAACTTTAACAATCAACATATCCTGCTGTTAGGGGTAGGGGGAAACGTTTGGCGAACACATGGTGACATCATAGACAATACATTATTCTTATACCACAGAGACATAAGTATGAATATCTCGATTAATTTAACATTTTGTAATACAAATGAATTAAGAATATATTGTTACATGATTTTGTTAATAATTTCTTTTAGGCGTTTTATACATTCTGGAGACATGAAAAAGTATTTAGTCTGTATTAACAGAATCTTGTGGTCTGGACAAGATCGGTTACTGGACAAAGCGGAATGGAAAAAAAAATGTAGAAAAAACAGAAACAAACATTTGGGACGTCCATCAACATACATCAAAATGTATTCACTAGAACAACATCCAAATAACGTATTATTTTTAGGTGCAGTCCAACGTGCTGGACGTTTCATCTAATTACAGCGGAAATTACACTTCATTGAGGTTTAATCCCTTTACTCATATTTACTGCCCCCTCTATGTTTACTGATAACGAGGTCCTGACAACACGTGACCCAAGCTCGGACAATATGAGCCGTGATGACACCCTATGCAAGTGAAAATATCGATCAGTTATTGCATATCTACATTCACAGCGTGGTACTTCCCTTCACGAGGCCACCTACATCCTTCACGTGTTGGCTGGAATGCATATAGACTGATATTCACAATTTGAATTCTTGCCCTTGGCATTATCAAAGGTTGGCATGCCATTACTTGAAATAGGGACACGTTATTTTCAGAGGCTGTTTCTTGTGCTATATACAACTCTCAGCTATGTCTAGTTATTCGGAATGGAATCATAATAGTTTCTTAAACCAGGCTTCGTGTTGTTTTTTAATCGATTAGAACCATTAGAATGAAAACTGGTAAATAGTTGGTATTTGTTTATCATGATGGCGTTTTGGTGTATCGACACATTCGTGAAATGGTGACATTGTATTTGAGGACGGAAAGGTTAATAAAGGATATTAAATATGTAAGGCTCTGCGGTGTCTTTCGGTGATTTCAAAGCAGATAAAACCCTTTGTTGTTCAGGCCGACGAATTTTGGGACCATTTATTTTGTTAACCAGAATCCATACAGGGTGAAATGTGGATAATGACAAGAAACTTATAGACAAATTCTTATTTAATTAATATGCTGAGTTACTTTTCTAAATTGTAATGGGAGGATTTTCATCATGGTAAGTTCTAAATGCACATTTGTTATTTAATAGTTTCGTGCCATCCCTAATTTCCTATTCAAACAGGTGTCTTCAATATTAACTAATACACATTCTTTACATAGGGCAGGTAATAGGCGTCCACTGGTGTCTGCATTGTAATTAAAATGTTTCAAGAGTGTAGACTGTGTAATATTGTTGTTGCTGATTTTGATTATGGAGACAGATATAACTGTATGAATATCTTTATGATAATTCTAATAATATGAATACCACTATCAAGACTCCACACATAAAAAGGCGTGCTCTAGGTGTTAAAGCTCTTAATTTTAATATATTGCAATCCGTTTTTGACTGAAGTCAAAGAACACTGAGACAGAGGTGACCGATTATGTTTATCGTATATGCAGCTCAGTCAGTTAACAAGTCTTTCATAAAGGCAAATACTCAGTTTGTTAGAATGAAGATGCCTATTGATAGACGTGGTTTTCTCTTTGTTGGAATGAAGATGGCAGTTTTCATTGATAGAAGTGAGTATGGTTCGATCTATTTGTACATAGGTTTCAATGATGTGGCAGAACGATCGAGATATATGAAGTAATGTCCATTCGGATCCTTCCTGTCTGCAACAGGTCCGAACTGTAAAATCCTGCCTTGTGAGGGGATCCAGTACTCGGCCCGAAGTCCCCACTATATAACTATCATACATCTGCACCGCCCCGCCATGTGTTGGGACCTCGCAATGGGTGTGAAGTCTTCCACTATTCCACTGTTAGCAAACACGTATCTATAATTAACCTGCAGTCAATGACAGTCCTGCATATAAATACAAACTCATTGGAGGACTAGATTAATCATTATTTTCGCACTCGATACTGTTTCATTCGCAACTCCAATACGAATAATGTAAGATATTTTGCCAGTCTATAGAAGTCGGAGGGAGAATGTAGGCAGACAAATGCTTACTTCGGAGACAATCTTTGAACTTCGTGATGTACTCACTGAAGCATTTCATCACAAGCAGGCTACATTTCCTAACCGTTGTCAAATAGTTTGAGCAGGGATAAAAACTAGATTTGAATGCACCCCCGAGCCGCTGTAGGCGAGAAAGCGTGCAAACAGACAGGTTGAAGTTGCGGGGGGTTTCGCTTTGCTTGCGAAATTAGCACTGTAGGTTCAAAATCAGAGCTTGATATAAATACCCTTACGAATGAAAAAAAAGGTTTCCTCATATCTATATGTTGGTAAGAGAGCCTAATAGGACAGAGAGTGCAGTATAACATGTCTTCAGTTATCTTTTTAAGTAACATGCAGAAGGTATTTATTTTTAATGAACATAATTTGAATATAAATTCAATGACTTACACTGACATTAACATATTAAGAGGCGGGATGTTCTCTTTAAACGTAATAGTTACATTCCGAAATGTCGATGAATGTGAAGTATAAACATTCAGAGAAATTGGCGTATGTGTGAAATATTGTCGAAGCTGGCAGCGCACCTTTGGTGGAAAAGTCAACCTCAATAACACATACTAGCATATGAGATCAATATGATGACATGATGGAATAGTTAATAATATTTTTAAAATTGGCATATTGAACACATGCATATTCCCCTGCACCACACTGTTTGATTATATTCCCTTCAGGTGTTGTCGAGATTTCCATCTTTGATCCTTTAATCATTTGAGCTTGTTATTTGTTGTTCTTATGGCTGTGGTTTTCGATTTGGGTTGACGCAAGGAATCAAATTGGACATGTAAATGTTATTCCTGCTTAAATGATTTGTTTTTGTTGTTCATCCTAAATTGTTCCCCCGGCGACAAAAAATACTTCTAAACGACCGTTCACCCTCTGAGGACAGTGATGTATGATGCCTGACCAAGGAACCTTTGCGCTTTGACATTGGCCTTTCTAAACATATTAAAATCCTTTCAGGTTCCAGTGAATTCATGTGGATAATCCATGACAACGAAGACTTGTCGACAGACCTCCTCTAGTCTTTCAGTAAACACCAAAGCTGAGTAGATTTCTGCCCCCCTAACACCTGTTAATGCGTTAATAAGTTGCTTGACAACATGGGGAAAGAACCACAAGTCTCCTGATCATTTGCACTATATTAAGACGGTGCAACACATAGCTGTCATGTCTCCATTGCTCGATGGCAATGTTGTATCAAAGCATTACAAGATGGTTAAATAGTACAATTCGCCTGTTTGAGATTCTGGTTGTTTCTTCACTGCTTGGAGAGAGATTAAGTCTTGAAATGTTTTGCCACTAAAATTAGGCAGGGATAAAGGAGCAACGTCCAGTACTCTGTAAAGCATAGGAAAATAATTCACTTTGCTGAGTACCCACAACAAAGCAAATATGAACATACATGCAATACCTTGCTCACGAAAAGCTTATCAGTTTGATTTTATATTCCTAACTCGATGTACGTGCTATGATAACGTTGTAGCGCTTTCTAATTTCTTGAAGAGAATGTTGTCCCTGTATGAAACAGTTGTAATATTTTGAGAAACCTCAACTTCGCATTTACTAGGAAATGTCTATATCATCAAGAAAGCACAATGTGTGATCAGGGTGGTTAAAGATTAACATTCGGAGGTGTAACAATTGCATTGAAGGTTTCTTAATGACAAAATCCATCAAACGCTGAGTGTCATAATAGGTTGTTTACTTGTGTTTTTGTATCTTGTACCATGCGTTGTAGTTAAGCATCTGTCACGCCAAAGGACACTATGATTCATGCATTCTTGCACACTAGCTTATTAGTCTTGATTAAACCAGAATTGATCGTTCCTCACTAAAGGGTAC